TTAGAGGGGTATGGTGGCATGCACCTGTTGTCCCAGCTACTCGGGAGGCTCAAGTGGGAAGATCACTTGAGCCTGGGAGGTTGAGCCTACAGTGAACTGTGAACAAACCCCTGCACTCTAGCCTGGTTGAAAGGGCAAAACTCTATCTCAAAAAAAAAAAAAAAAAAAAAAAGAACTAAGACTGGGCATGGTGGCTCAATTCCAGTAGTTCCAGCACGTGGAGGATGACCTGAGGCCAGAAGTTTGAGACCAGTTTGGGCAACACAGCAGGACCCCATCTCTATCAAAATAAAAATAAATAAAAATAAGAACTGGGAAGGTCCTTCTTTAGTACAAAAATGATAATCAAACTGATAATCATTTCCAAAGCATATATTACTTTTTTGTATGTGTGTGCTTTTGGTAGAGATAGCGTTTTGCCATGTTGCCCAGGCTGGTCTCAAACTCCTGAGTTCAAGTGATCTGCCCACCTTGGCTTCCCAAAGTGGTAAGATTACAGGCATGAGCCACTGCACCTGGCCTACTTTTATAAACAAACAGGAATGTTTTGTTTATAATAACCCACATTGGACCAAAACGTCTTATTGTAGTAAACCTACTAAGCTCCCCCTTTGCTTCCATTACTGTGCCTCTCTCAGTATTTTTCAGTTATTTCTCCTTTACTCTTTCTACCCTTTTGTTGGACTTAATTCAGAACTGAAGTTTTAATATACTCTCTCAAGCATATAAAATAAAAATTATGTTTCATATATAAAATAAAGTTTATACAAGGTTGTTGGTTTGGATTGAGTTTCTGCACTAGGTCCAGCAGTCCAAACCAAAATGGAATTACTCATGCTGACAGTTCATCTGATCTTCCAAGAAATCAGGAGACGGAGAGGTAATAGGTAAATCTCCAAACAGGCCAATTTTAGCTGGCATAATAAAGAAGTCCCCTCTGCTTTAACCTTTACAAGGAGAGTAACTTTGAACCAACCCATGCACTTTTGGTTCTCTGTTTCTGCTTTCTTCAGCCCTTTTCTGCCTAAAAAGCCAACTTGTCTTCTCAGTTAATCAGAACACTCATTCTGTTTTTTAGAACAATGTGTTGCTCAAGTCTAGAATTGCAAATCGAAGCCAGTTAAAATCTTTAAACTAGCTGGGCATGGTGGCTCATGCCTGTAATCCCAGCACTTTGGGAGGCCGAGGCAGGCGGATCACCTGAGGTCCGGAGTTCAAGACCAGCCTGACCAACATGGAGAAACCCCGTCTCTACTAAAAATACAAAATTAGCCAGGTGTGGTGGTGCATGCCTGTAATCCCAGCTACTCTGGAGCCTTAGGCAGGAGAATGGCTTGAACCCGGCAGTTGGAGGTTGCTGTGAGCCAAGATCGCGCCATTGCACTCCAGCCTGGGCAACAAGAGCGAAACTCCGTCTCAAAAAAAAAGAAAGAAAAAAAAAACTAAATTTGTTGTAATTTTGTATTTTGACACGTTATCAATAGTAAAATGGTAGGAATCTAGAGCGTGAAGACCATTATATCCTTACCTGGTCCTATTATGGAGATAAAGGAAAGGAATCAGGGTATAAAAGTAGACAGTTTCATACCAATAAAATGTTGGTATCAACGTTCCAATAAAACAATATTTAACACTTGAATTATCCAGACAATGTTAAGTGTTACCATCAATAGAACTACTTTTATTATTATCAGCTCTGTGTTACTGTATTAACAAAATAATCCCACCTTTAAGAAAAAGTAAGTGATTGGGAGGCCAAGGCAGGAGGATTGTTTGAGACCAGGAGTTCAAGACCGGTCTGGGCAATATAGCAAGCTATCATTTCTAAAAAAATTTTTTAAATTTTTAAAAAAGCAAGTGAGCAAGCAAAAGTTAATCTTCTTTGGAGAAAGGAAAGAGACCAACCTTTTCATGAGGCTGAGGGATTTGAAGGATTGCTAACTATTGGTAATTTTTTTAAGTACTGTACTGAGGTACATTACTGAGTTAGATTTTAGAATCTTCTTCAGTGAATGTGTTTGATATAGGCTAAACATTTGTACCCTGGTATCAGGCAAAATCACTTCTTCTTCTTTAATACTCCTTGCTGGTTGTTTTCTGGACTGGTCTTTCTTCTTCTTGGAATGATCAGTTTTTTGGGACAAGTAGATAAAGTAGGTCTGCTTAGGCCTGGCAAAAGACCTTCCCAGGGGCCGGGCGCGGTGGCTCAAGCCTGTAATCCCAGCACTTTGGGAGGCCAAGACGGGCGGATCACGAGGTCAGGAAATCGAGACCATCTTGGCTAACACGGTGAAACCCCGTCTACTAAAAAATACAAAAAACCACCCAGGCGAGGTTGCGGGCGCCTGTAGTCCCAGCTACTCCGGAGGCTGAGACAGGAGAATGGCGTAAACCCGGGAGGTGGAGCTTGCAGTGAGCTGAGATCCGGCCACTGCACTCCAGCCTGGGCGACAGAGCAAGAATCCGTCTCAAAAAAAATAAAAATAAAAATAAAAATAAAAAGACCTTCCCATAATCCAGTCTGGCTCCCTGGAGTTCCACAGTGGGGTCTGTTTGTGCACTTATGACCCTTGGTAATGTCAAATGGAGGGCTAACTAATCTAGGGTAGGATTTGGCTTTTCTTGATGCTAGCCTGATTTTGACTTAATTTTACTTCCAACTATCCCCAAGGGTAGGATTAGGATATTTGGGATACTAACACTGTGATTTGGCTGTCTATTATATAGCTTTATCTCTGTTGCTTCTCACCCCTACCCCTGCCATTTTAGGTAATTCCCAGGATTCAGAGTAACTTTTATTCTGCTTCTCCACTGTTCAATTTTTTTTTTTTTTTTGAGATGGGTTCTCACTCTGTTGCCCAGGCTGGAGTGCAGTGGCACGATCTTGGCTCACTGCAACCTCCACCTTCTGGGTTCAAGTGATTCTCCTGCCTCAGCCTCGCCATTAGCTGGAATTTCAGGTGCACACCACCATGCCCGGCTAATTTTTGCATTTTTAGTAGAGACGGGGTTTCGCCATATTGACCAGGCTGGTCTCAAACTCCTGACCTCAAGTGATCTGCCCACCTTGGTCTCCCAAAGTGCTGGGATTACAGGCATGAGCCACCACACCTGGCCTCCACTATTCAAATTTTCTAAAACAATTTTTTTAAGTTGGGCTCTTGCTCTGTTGCCCAGACTGCAGTGCAGAGGCACAATCATGGCTCCCTGCAGCCTCAAACTCCTGGGTTCAAGCAATCCACCCACTTCAGCCTCTCAAGTAGTTGAAATTACAGGCATGTACCATCGCGCCCTCCTAAATTTTTAAAATTATTTTTTGGCCGGGCACAGTGGCTCACGCCTGTAATCCCAGCACTTTGGGAGGCCGAGGTGGGCGGATCAAGAGGTCAGGAGTTCGAGACCATCCTGACCAACATGGTGAAACCCCATCTCCATTAAAAGTACATATATTAGCCAGGCATGGTGGCAGGCGCCTGTAGTCCCAGCTACTCAGGAGGCTGAGGGAGGATAATCGCTTGAACCTGGGTGGCGGAGGTTGCAGTGAGCTGAGATCATGCCACTGCACTCTAGCCTTGGTGACAGAGCGAGACTCAGTCTCAAAAAAAAAATTAAATTAAATTAAATTAATAAATGAAATTATTTTTTGTACAGACAAGGTCTTGCTATGTTGCTTAGGCTGGTCTCAAATTCCTATCCTTAAGCAATCCTCCTGTCTTAGCCTTGGCTTCCCGAGTCTCTGAGATTATAGGCGTGATCACCATGCCTGGCTTAAAATAAACATTTTCTTTTCACAGCTTAAAATAAACATATTAGTTTTATTAAAAATGAGGGTTTAAAAAAATAGACTAGAGTAAATTCTTATCTATCTAGAACTAGTTTAGTTTACCTTTAAGTAGAAAGGAAACTCTTAAGTACAATTCTTTAGTAAGGTGGCAAGAGCAATTTGAAAATTGAGAACAAAAAGTTTATGAGAAGAGTACCAAGATCTAGGAAAGGACCCTAGACAAAAGAGGGTTTATAGTCTGAACAGGGAGGAAGCAGATGAGACATAAATACTGCTGTGTACTCAAAAGTAGAGCCTGACAAAGCTAAAACACTTTCTAAATATTAACTTTTCATCTGATTCAGCAATCCCATGATAGACACATCAGTATAGCAAATGGTAAAGTGAGGCAAAAGATAAAATTATGTGTGCATGCCCAGAAAAAAAATTCAAGCATAGTTAATCTCCTTCTGTGCCTCTCCACCCTTTCCTATAGCAGCATAAGCAGCCTGCAGGTGACTCTGTGTAGGTGTCTTTAGGGAAAGTAAATTGGTCACTAAGGCTCTGTAATAGCTATGAATGTGGAAGCTGATCCAAACTAATAGTTGACAAGTTAGAACCAATTCTAAGCTCGAAAAACAGTTTTTAAAAAAATCTCTCTTCTTGCATGGGATGCAAAACCATATTTTTAAAGGGTCATTCTGCTATGGTAGAATATTCTCATTAAGATAGTAGAAGGGGCCGGGTGTGGTGGCTTATGCCTGTAATCCCAACACTTTGGGAGGCTGAGGTGGGCAGATCACCTGAGGTTGGGAGTTTGAGACTAGCCTGACCAACATGGAGAAACCCTGTCTCTACTAAAAATACAAAATTAGCTGGGTGTGGTAGCACATGCCTGTAATCCCAGCTACTCAGGAGACTGAGGCAGGAGAATAGCTTGAACCCGGGAGGCAGAGGTTATGGTGAGCTGAGATCACACCATTGCACTCCAGCCTGGGCAACAATAGCAAAACTCTGTCTCAAAAAAAAAAAAAAAAAAAAAAAGACACTAGAAGGCTAGTATCCTGGAAATAAGTGCTGAGCTCTCTAGTTCTGGGATGTTGTTTATTAGGCCAGATGTTCTAGAAGAAAATGAGCAGTATAATAAAGTGTGATTTGATGGCTTTCCCTTTGTTGCCAGAAGTGAAGGGAAAGGAGTTATGGGAGAGTATGTCAAAGGCTTGTTTTTCCCTAGTAGGTGTGGAGTTTCCAGAAGAAACAAACAGATCTCCTCATCGCCTTTTATAAGCATAGAATTACAAAGTTAGAAACAGCCATGCAGGAGGCACAGCAGGCACTGGTCAGCCAGGACAAGTAAGTAACATATCAAATCACAAGAGAGCTTTTTTTTTTCTTTCTAAGAAGTGACAGTCTTTATTTCCTTGTGTTTGCAAAACCTGGAAATTGCTCCATATGTATTTGTTTGTTTGGGAAAATCGGGTATAGAATTTTTGATCCCCTGAATCTCCATTTTTTTCTTTCTTCCCTCCAGAGGCTCTCCTCACTTTATAGTTTTCCTCTTCTATTTCCCGGTATCAAAAACTGTTTCCCAGGCCAGGTGCAGTGGCTCACACCTGTAATCCCAGCAGTTTGGGTGGCCGAAGCAGGAGGATCACTTGAGGCCAGGAGAAGGCCAGCCTGGCCAACATAGCGAGACTCTAAAAAAAAAAAAAAAGTTTTTAAATAAAAAATTAGCCAGACATGGTGGTTCACACCTATAGTCCCAGCTACTTGGGCTGAGGCTGGAGGATCCTTTGAGCCCAGGAGTCTGAGTTACAGTGAGCTATGATCACACCACTACACTCCAGCCTGGGTGAAAAAGTGAGACACTGTCTCAAAAACTAAAACAAAAAAAAAATCTGCTTCCTTGAGAAGTCAGATATAGCTGATTCACACCGATAACACTCCTTGTAGCCTCAATCTCCTGGGCTCAAGTGATCCTCTCACCTCAGCCTCCCAAGTAGCTGCGACTACAAGTGCACGCCACCATGCCTGGCTAATTTTTGTATTTTTTTTTGTTGTTGTCGAGAGGAGTCTCTCCATATTGTCCAAGCTGGTCTGGAATCCTTTTTTCTCTTCTTTCAAAGTTTATTATTATTATTATTTTTTTTTATGGAATGCTTCAAGCATTTACATGTTAACTTTCTTTGGGGGCCATGTTAATCTTCTCTGTATTGTTCCAATTTTAGTGTATGTGCTGCCAAAGCAACCACAAGATGGAATCCTTGATTAAAATTTTTAGACATCAGCAGGCGAGGGGTGTGTGTGGGGGGGAGGAAATGGAATTCTTTGCAAATTCCCCTGAAATCATACCAAGTAATTGCTTATTTTGTCCACCTAATTGTTCTCATTATCAAAACCCTGCCATTGTCTCCTTGAATCACCAAATTCCTGATAGAAATAGCTTGTATAGCTGCAAGCATTTCTCAATAAGTATTAACTAAATGTTAATAGTTATAATAATAAAAAAATCAGGTTTTTAATCCCTGATTTGCTGCAGCTGATTGGTTCCATCTTTTGCCTAGAGAATTGTCAGTCTTAAGGAAGGAGAATGGAGAACTGAAGAAATTTCTAGCCATTCTAAAGGTGAATGAAATAGATTTTCCTTATTATTATTTTCTCTCTTACTTTTCTCATCTATCTAGCTGATTATATAGAATAGTGTTTCCTAATCTTTTTCTCATCATGGCACACACAGAAATTGATATTTGTACAATAAGCCCTCTACAGTAAATGGATGAGGTCTCAGCAGACCTTGGGGGACAGAAAGGATCAACTTATAGTACACTCGTAACCCATTCCTGAACATCAGTGAGTCATGAACATCAGTGAGTTGGAAAGTTCTCTTATAGAAGAAACAGCTGTTGCAACTTAAAAATTTCTCTTCGAGAAACTCAAGACACCTCAGGACGCTTCCTCTGCATCACACTCTACTTCCTAAATAGTTTTTCTTCCTAAGAATATTCTGTGTATTTATATAATTTTCCTATTGATCCCACTCCTGTAATTATTCTAGCACATTGTAGTGTGTCATTTTCCTTTCTCTCCCCAGAGACTCCATATTTCCCCACTTATGTTAGTCTATGGGATTCCCTATGCACTCTTACAAAGAACTAAAATTTTATCTCCTCAAAGCTAATAATATCCTAAGGAAATACTGCTGCTACTTTTCCTCCTACTGGGAATCTTAGCAACCATGACTAAGGGGCACTGAGCTTAGTTAGCTAGCAAGTAAGACTGAAGATCTGTTGATTAGGATCCTCAGTTGTAGCCTTCTTCACTCCTGGTTTTTTCACCTATAGGAATCTCCAAGTCGGTACCAAGGAAGCAGGTCAGTTTTATCAGCTCCCATACTAACCCAACCCCCTGAAAACTCCTGTTCTTTCTTGACTCCTGGCTGTGTGAACTCTGAGAGAGAGAAAATGGTTAATGCATTTGGCTTTCACTTCTGCAAGAAAGAGTTATTGAAAGTGCCGAAGTAAAATCTTAATTATAATGCTCACCCTTGACTGTCATCTTATGAAATACTACTGTTTGAAATGCTGGTTCCTCAGTGCCATAAAGAAATAGCATTTGAACATAAATTTAATTTACTCAGCAAGGACATTTTTACTTCCTGCAGAAAGGGTTCACTCGCCAGCAAGATTACACTGAACAAAGGAGACAGGGTCATTTATAACCTGACGCATCTACCTTACTGCTGTGTCCGGTTTCCATTGGCTGGAACGGGACCTCACATTCTGTATGTGTTCCGATTGGCTAACAACTTAGAACTTTTTAAAAGAGGCAAAGGTAGAGGAGAACCAAGGAAGGAGGAAGTAACTTGTGGAATGCTGAGAAAGGTAAAAACATCTTCAAATAAGGAAGGAACAGGCTATAACCTAACGCTTGCTTGGACCAATGTAAGTGTACCAGGGCAAATATTTAGGCTAAGTTGTGGCAGCTAAGAACATAAAGTACATTGATTTCTTTATTACGGCTAGCAGATATTTAAGAATGTTAGTACAGGTCTTTAAATAAATTTTGCTTTTAAGAGAAGTTACTGTTTATTCCTAATTAGACGAAGAGGAAAGCCTTTAAAGAGGAACCTCTACTTTACTTTTTACACTACTCATCCTTAAAAATTCAACTCAGTCATTTCCTCTGTGAAGACTGCATTAGGTGGAATTAGATGGTCTATTCATTCATTCAGTAAATATTAAGTGCCTACTGTTTATCAGGTACTATGTTATGGGCTGGATATATGCTACCGGTCCTTTCTAATTAGTGATATATATGCTCTACCAACGCTTTTTTTTTTTTTTGAGACGGAGTCTTGCTCTGTCGCCCAGGCTGGGGTGCAGTGGCCGGATCTTAGCTCACTGCAAGCTCCGCCTCCCGGGTTTACGCCATTCTCCTGCCTCAGCCTCCCGAGTAGCTGGGACTACAGGCGCCCGCCACCTCGCCGGGCTAGTTTTTTGTATTTTTTAGTAGAGACGGGGTTTCACCGTGTTAGCCGGGATGGTCTCGATCTCCTGACCTCGTGATCCGCCCGTCTTGGCCTCCCAAAGTGCTGGGATTACAGGCTTGAGCCACCGGCCCGGCCATCTACCAACTCTTAAACATATTTTTAGTATCGGCCGGGCATGGTGGCTCACGCCTGTAATTCCAGCACTTTGGGAGGCGGAGGCAGGCGGATCATGAAATCAGGAGATTGAAACCATCCTGGCTAACATGGTGAAACCCTGTCTCTACTAAAAATACAAAAACAAAATTAGCCGGGTGTGGTGGCGGACACCTGTAGTCCCAGCTGCTCAGGAGGCTGAGGCGGGAGAATGGTGTGAACCTGGGAGGCAGAGCTTGCAGTGAGCGGAGATCACCCACTGCACTCCAGCCTGGGTGACAGAGCGAGACTCTGTCTCAAAACAAACAATTAAAAAAAATCTATATATATATATGTGTGTGTATATATATTTATATATATTTTAATATCAGCCCTGCATTATGGATTAAAAAGACACGGTCCTACATTCATAGAAGCTACCGTCTAGTGTTGTTTTGTCCTTCTGTTCTTCTGATAAGCCCATTACAACACTTAAACACTGCTCTGATTTTTTTTTTTTTAATCTCTCCCACTAGCCTGTAAGCCTCTCAGTTATTCTAGGTATTTTTGTAATCTCAGGATCTAGGAAATATAGACCCAAATATATGCTCGTTGGATGGCATCCTTCTTTCTGGTTATTTTGGGTTTAGTTCTTTTTCTAGTTTCTTAAGGTGGATGAGACAATGGAGGGATGTATGAATGGGTGGATAGATGTATGGTTGAGAGTACTTGATAAGGCACTGAGGAGGGAAGAAAGGTGTACTTTAAAGCTTCTATTATAGGCAACACAGAGGTGGAGAAAGCTCCAATTAGGGAGTTGGAAAGCAAGGGGTTTTATGTGGAAACTTTGCTTCCATATTTCAGGATGCTACCTATGATACATGGGAGTAAGCAGTTTGTGCTCAGAGAGGAAGCTATTATTTCTATAAAGTGATCTGATTGATCCTCTAAAGTTGCACTTAACCTCTGCCCAGAGAGATTAGAGCCGCCTCTTTTTTTTTCCTTGCAGGTCAACCACACCTCGACCAGTGGGCATTACTTCCCCATCACAGTCAGGTGGAGAACACTTTTCCCCTAAATATCTGTGTGAGATGAATATCCTTTCCTTATGTAGAAGATGGTTTCCTCTCAGAGACAATAATGTGATCTTCCTAACTTTATGTATAATATGAAAACATTATATCACCAGATAATCATGCACAACAAATTGGCCAGGCAAGGCAGGTGCACGATTGATGGCAATTTTTTTATTCTGTAGTTTATTCTCTTTCAGTTACCCCACGGCCCAGTTTCCAGCATAGCAGTCAAGTGGTCAGGTAAGCTCACACAGCAACATTAAAACTGTTGGCAAAAGTTGGAAGATAAAAGAAATATCTAGTTGTAGCTCAGTTTGGGACTGATAAAATTTTAGGTCTATGTAGAAGTTTAAAGCTAGGGTTTGTTTTTTTTTTTCCCGTGCCAAACTGTATCCAGCTTTATTAAAGATACTATCCATAAATGATCATGATATTTCAGGCAGGACATGGGCAGACAATCATTAACAGTATACAACAACTTTCAAACTCCCTTCTTCAATGGACTACCAAAAATCAGAAAGCCACTATAAATCCCAATGAAATCTTCATCTCATGCTCTGAACAGGGAAAGTTTAGAGTGAGGGTTGACGTTTCACATTTAGCATATTGTTTAACAACTTTTCACAAGCCAACCCTGACTTTCAGGAAGTGAAATGAAAATGGCAGAATTTGGCCGGGCGCGGTGGCTCAAGCCTGTAATCCCAGCACTTTTGGAGGCCGAGACGGGTGGATCACGAGGTCAGGAGATCGAGACCATCCTGGCTAACATGGTGAAACCCCGTCTCTACTAAAAAAAATACAAAAAATTAGCCGGGCGAGGTGGCGGGCGCCTGTAGTCCCAGCTACTCGGGAGGCTGAGGCAGGAGAACGGCGTGAACCCGGGAGGCGGAGCTTGCAGTGAGCCGAGATCGCGCCACTGCACTCCAGCCTGGGTGACAGAGCGAGACTCCGTCTCAAAAAAAAAAAAAAAGAAAATGGCAGAATTTATCTGAGGATCCACAATCTAGAAATGGAACCACTGCTCTTTTGACAGATGCCATCTCAGTGGCATCACTGGAAAGTCCAGATTGCCTGACAAACTGGTAATCAATGACTGGGGGTCAGGTTCCAACAGATGTCTGGGCTTAAGGGAGTTAAGTCTATGCTGAAAGATGGAAAGGGAGAAGAGGACATAAAAACGAATTTGTTTTTTAATACCACAAGGCTTTTGTGCCAAGGTGGCCATGTGTGTCAAAGTCAGGGAATCCCTCCTTCTGGGAGCCAAGAGGAAGTCTCTCAGAACTAGAAGGGGAAGGTGTTTTCCTCGCATCAATCCAGCTTCGGAGACTTTCTATTAGTGGCATATGCCCCTTCCCCAAAAAACAACAAGTGTTCTGTGTTCTAATAACATATAAAGCTAGGTTTTTTTTTAGGCTGGGCACAGTAGCTCATGCCTGTAATCCTAGCACTTTGGGAGGCCAAGGCGAGTGGATCACTTGAGGTCAAGAGTTCGAGACCAACCTGGCCAACATGGTGAAACTCAGTCTCTACTAAAAATACAAAAGTTAGCCAGGCATGGTGGTACACGCCTGTAGTCCTAGCTAAACTTGGGAGGCTGAGGCATGAGAATCACTTGAACCCAGGATGTGGAGGTTGCAGTGAGCTAAGCTTATGCCATTGTGCTCTAGCCTGGGCAACAGAGCGAGACTGTGTCTGAAAAACACAAAAACAAAAAAAAAACCAACAATAACAAGTAAAACTCGGTTTTTACCTTTTTTTTCTTTTTGTTTCACCTTATACAGTCGGTCCTCCTCAGCGGAATCTATTCCTTATAGAGAGGCTGGCTTTGGTGGCTTGGGACAAGTAAGTAATGTTCACCTTATCTTTCAGATTGAAGTTTCTAATGCTAAATGAAAGCAAAGGTTTATCAAGAACTTAAATTTATATTGGTTTTGGTATAAATTATCTGATGTCTTACTGGACCCTATTTTCTTCTGGCAATGGAGACCTGATGTTAGAAACTGACAGAGAATAAATAGGGGTGGAAATAGTGAAAGTGTTTAAGGACTGAATCAACAATGTCCATGGTGTTCATTTTGGAAGGAGTGAAGTATGGATCTTTCTTAGACTAGTATGCCCACTGTAGTAGAACAATATATGCTTGAATGTGTAGCTATAGATAAATAGGGAATAGGGAAGCCAGATAACTGAGATATATTTATTAATTGATGTTTATTATTTGTCTATCAGGGAAGCAGAGGTCTGCAGGGACGGAGAACTCCCAGAGACTCTTATAATGGTGAGGTGGGGGGAAAAGGGTGTCAGAAATCAACCTACTCTATGCAGAGATCTGCAGATTTCTGGTTTTCTATGCATAATATAATGCCATTTCACTTGTTTTTTTTCCAGACAGTGATTCCATGTATCCATACATACATTACAAATTTTTCAAATAATTATATTTTTGTTTTCCAACTAATAAGGGGAAAATAAAGATTTGAGTGATAGAAACTCATTGAAAACCTCTGGTTAGGAGATGGAGGATAACTTTTCAGTAAAATTGACTTGGATTTTTTTGAATTGCCACAAGATGGCATTATAAGCTAAGTATAAAAAGAAGGTTCACAAGATGCCGATTGTTGGCCTGAAGGGTATCTGGCTTCTTTACTATGTTTTAAACATAAAAATATTCCAGTGAAGGAATATTTTGGGTCTGCTTACTTAATTTCTTACCTAAAGCCCCTTAAAATTATTACTGTTGTTACCATTTTCAAGGGCATTAACCAGTACCTAAAGAATATGTATCAGAGAGGACTTTCACAAGAAATCATTTGAAATTCCCAAATATCTTTTCTTTAATTCTCCAAATAGTCTCCCACTAAATCTCCCACATTTGAAATCTCCCACTCCTTTGAAAAACATAGATGTTCTAGACAATTTATTTCTCAGGTTAGTAACAACAATGTTCTCTTTTTCATTCTTAATTTTAGTAATTTGAGTATTTTCCTCTTTTTTTTTTTTTTTTGGTCAATCATTTCAAAGAATTCGTTTTGTTGAGAGTCTGTATTATTTTTTCTATTTTCTGTTTCATTTACTTCTGGTTTAGTCAGTTTCCTTCTCATTATTTTGGATTTACTTCTTTTTCTAGTTTCTTAAGGTGGAAGGTTCGATTATTTATCTGAGATCTTTTTTACTATTGATGTTTCCAGTCATAAATTTCACTGTAGCACTGCTTTCACTGCATCCTATAACATTTGGCATGCTGTGTTTTGTTTTCATTCATTCCAAAGTTTGTTTGTTTGTTTTTTGAGGTGGAGTCTCACTCTGTCGCCCAGACTGGAGTGCAGTGGCGCCTTATCAGCTCACTGCCACCTCCACCTCCTGCGTTCACCCTCCCAAGTAGCTGGGACTACAGGCTCACGCCACCACACTTGGCTAATTTTTGTATTTTTAGTAGAGATGGCGTTTTACCATGTTGATCAGGCTGGTCTCCAACTCCTCACCTCAGGTGATCTGCCCACCTCAGCCTGCCAAAATGTTGGGATTACAGGCATGAGCCACCACGCCCCATCCCATTCCAAAGTATTTTTTAGTGTCCCTCGTGATTTTTTTTGGACCCATTGGTTGTTTATCAATGTGTTGTTTAATATCTACACATATGTGAAGTTCCCAAATTTCCTCCTGTTATTGATTTTGACTTTCAGTAATTTAAATCCTTTTAAATTTATGACATAACATGTGGTCCATCCTGGAGAATGCTCCATGTGTATGGGAAGAATGTATATTCTACTATTTTTGGGTGGTGTATTCTATAGAGTCTGCTAGGTTTAGTTAGTATATCGTGTTGTTCAATTAGTACGCTTCTGTTTCCTTTCCTTGCTGATCCAGTCCAGTTGTTCTGTCCATTATTGAAAGTGGGGTATTAAAGTCAACAACTATTATTGTGGTTTTTGGTTTTTTGTTTTCTTGTTTTTTTGAGACAGAGTCTCGCTCTGTTGCTGATGCTGGAGTGTAGTGGCACAATTGTGCCTCACTGCAGCCTCCACCTCCCACGCTCAAGCGATAGTCCCACTTCAGCCTCCTGAGTAGCTAGAACAAAAGGCATGTGCCACCACACCTGGCTAGATTTTTTATTTCAATTTTCTTGTCTTTGTAGAAATGAGGTCTCCCTGTTCTGCTCTGGCTGGTCTCGAATTCCTGGGCTCAAGCGATACTCCTGCCTCAGCTCCCAAAGTGCTGGGATTATAGGCATGAGCAACCATGCCAGTCCTTATTATTGTCAAATTGTCTTATTTTCTCTTCAATTCTCAATTTTTGCTTAATGTATTTTAGGACTCTATTGTTAGATGCATATATAAATGTTTCTCTTCTTGATATAAATGGACCCCTTTATCATTATTTAATGCCTCTGTCTCTTGTAACTTTTTTTTTTTTTTTTGAGACAGAGTCTCACTCTCCTCTTGGAGAGTGCAGTGGCAAAATCTCGGCTCACTGCAACCTCTTCTCCCAGCTTCAAGCGATTCTCGTGCCTCAGCCTCTTGAGTAGCTGGGATTACAGGCATGTGCCACCACGCATGGCTAATTTTTGTATTTTTAGTAGAGACGAGGTTTCACCATGTTGGCTAGGCTGGTCTCAAACTCCTGGCCTCAAGTGATCTGCCGGCTTTGGCCTCCCAAAGTGCTGGGATTACAGGCATGAGCCACGATGCCTGGCCCAACAATTTTGTCTTAAAGTCTATTTTGTCTGATATTAGTATAGCCACTCTTTTGTTCACTGTTTTTTGCATGGAATATATTTTTTCATCCTTCTCCTTTCAACCTATATGCATCTTTGAATCCAAAGTGAGTCTCCTGTAGACTGTGTATAGTTGGACTTGTTTTTTCTTTCATCTGTTCTGCCAGTTTCTGCCTTTTAATTCATTTACATTTAGTGTAATTACAGATAAGGAAGGACTGATTTCTGCATTTTGTTATTTGTTTTCTATATGTCATGCTTTTTGATTAGCCTTTTGTTTGTCCCAGCTGATATTTATCTCCTTAGGCAGCCAAACAAGTGCTTCTAATTGTTTTCAACAGACTGGAGAAAGGTTTTTCTGCACTTGGTAAGCTCTGAGCTCCAAGTCCTGGTGAACTTGAGCTCCAAATCCTGGTGCTGTCAAAGACAACCTTGAAAGTGGGGTCTTCCAGGGAACCACTAGACAGGTTAAATTATAACAATTCTCTGGGAATGAGTCCTTCAAAAAGCTCCAACCCTGTTCCATCCCCTCTAGTGACTGCCAGACTGTTGGTTTTCACCATGAGTGTGCCCTGTTGGTTTTCAAGGCTACCATGGAGCCAGAGAAGGAGAAATGGCAATAAAGCAAGTTAAAATGCCACAAACCTTGCTGTTTTTACTAACATTCTGCTATTTTTCTTGAATAAACATTCTCCAGATTACTACAAGCCCTTTGTTAATTTCCAGATTTCTGAAGAAGTTGATTCTGACCATTATGCCAATTTTCTCATTGCTTTTATGGAGGAGGAAATTTTTGGAGGTCTTTGCTCTGCCATTTTTGTTGATGTCACTCGTAACTAATTTTTGTCTTTACCCATTCTTTCTGGTGATTTCCATCTTAGAGGGGAAGCCAAGGCACAGATACATTAGAGCACATGAAGGCAGTGAGGGATCTCAGTCCACAGACTCATGAAAGGGAGAGGAAAGCACCTATAAGAGATACTGCTATGTGATTTGTGAGCTTTTTCACTTGGCATTAGCCCCCAACCCTAACGTATATACTAAAAATCTTTTATCTCCATTTCCTTTGCCCTGGCCCCAAGTATACCTGAATCTCTTCTCCAGTTCATGGGTGATCTCATAGGCTTATTTTTATGCTTTCCAGAAACCCCTTCACCAGCTTCAACTCACAGCCTATCTTATAGGTGAGTAACACTGCGCTTCCTTTTTCTTGGGATGTGTTCATACTTAAACTCTGCCAGCAGGCTTGGTGCAGTGGCTCACGCCTGTAATCCCAGCACTTTGGGAGGCCGAGGAGGGTGGATCACGTGAGGTCAGGAGTTTGAGACCAGCATGGCCAACATGGCAAAACCCCGTCTCTACTAAAAGTACAAAAATTAGCCGGGAGTGGTGGCAAATGCCTGTAATCCCAGCTACTCAGGAGGCTGAGGCAGGAGAATTGCTGAATCCAGGAGGTGGAGGTTGCAGTGAGCTGAGATGGTGTCACTACCCTGCAGCCTGGGTGACAGAGTGAGACAATGTCTCAAAAAAACAAACAAAAACAACAGAACTCTGCCAGCAGTCCTGGGGCTACTTCTCCACTGGCTTGTACCACTGAAGTTTATAATGTGCCTTATAAGCAAAAAACTGTGTTTAATATACATCCAAATTACTGTATTTTGGCCAGGTAGTGGCTCCCACCTGTAATTCCAGCACTTAGGGAGCCCAAGGTGGGAGGATTGCTTAAGCCCAGGTGTTGGAGACCAGCCTGAGCAACAAAGCGAGACCTAATTACCCGGGCTTGGTGGGTGTATGCTAGTGGTCCCCGCTACTTGGGGGGCTAAGACAGGAGGATTGCTTGAGTTTAGGAAGTCAAGGCTGCAGTGAGCCATGATCATACTACTGCACTCCAACCTGGGTAACAGAGTGAGACCCTGTCTCCAAAAACAAAAAAATTATCTTCAGTTGCAAGCAGGGGATTTTTTTCCTCTCTGGCCTAACTGTATAGGCTCTTCCATTACATATGCTTTTTATTTTTACTTTTACCTTTCCTTTTCTCTGCTGATGCTTTTATTTCCTTTCCTTAGACCTTCATCTGCCTCCTCTGGACAGGGGATTTTTTCTTTCAGACCATCCCCAAATGGGCATTCAGGCCACACAAGAGTCCTCACCCCCAACAATTTTGGTAAGTTAAATAACATTTCCAAAGGAATGGAGCTTCAACTATAGACACATATACTAAACTGAAGATTTTCAAGATGACAAGATGTTGAGGTTTGCCCCCCAAAGAGCATTGTCTCTAGTTGGCTCCTTAATATTATTTAAGAGCCATCCCATTTTCTTCAGAGTGAAGGGAGACTCTGGGTTTTGCCTGGTTAGCACTCATCCTGTCACCAGTCGAGTCCTACTGTTTAGCCAGAAGGTTGGCCTGTAGGACTAAACTGGCTTCTCAAAAGTCCCTATATTGAAAATGCTGGGCACTCAGTTCTGAGGATTATAAGGCCAATATCCATTCTTCTCTGCATCTTTTTCAGTAAAGGTGGTACCACCAGTCCTCTTGTTAAGAGGCTGCCATCTTCCATAGCTCACCTAAATCTTTATATTGCCTATCTTTCCACTCATAGTTAAATCTCAGACCTCTGCCAGTACCTGGTCCTCACAGGAAAAGAACAGACTTTATAACCCATTTCTTAAATTGATAATTGTGTTTCCCTTCTGAGTAGTGTTCCTTTAAGAACTACCTCGTGGCCGGGCGCGGTGGCTCAAGCCTGTAATCCCAGCACTTTGGGAGGCCGAGACGGGCGGATCACGAGGTCAGGAGATTGAGACCATCCTGGCTAACACGGTGAAACCCCGTCTCTACTAAAAAAAATACAAAAAACTAGCCGGGTGAGGTGGCAGGCGCCTGTAGTCCCAGCTACTCCAGAGGCTGAGGCAGGAGAATGGCGTGAACCCAGTAGGCGGAGCTTGCAGTGAGCTGAGATCCAGCCACTGCACTCCAGCCTGGGCGACAGAGCGAGACTCCATCTCAAAAAAAAATTAAAAAAAAAAAATTAAAAAAAAAAAAAAAGAACTACCTCGTTACCCTGACCCACAAGTAACACCGCCGAGAAACTGCCCAAGGAAGTCATCTTTCACTGTTCCATTCTATCCTTCAGCTCAGAGGGAGAGCAGAACCACACTAGAGAGTCTTCCTAGTTTCCAGCTTCCAGTCCTGCAGGTGAGACCTGGCTAGTCTAACTTGTCTGTGCATAAAATCTCACATGGTTAGGCCTGCACACTAAATGCCTCAGGGTAGTGGAATATAACCAGTGAAAAATGATATGAGTTTCAACTCTGGTAACTGTATGTTCACAACCTTCCAGAATGGTTTCAATTCTAGATTTTATCCTACTGTTGGATTAGCTTCCTGGTTTGGGGTTTTAAAATGAAGTCACATGCTAGTGAGAGGCTTTAAACTGAGAGGTCTTGGCCAGGGTGAAATAAGTGTGGACACACTGACATTTTCAGTAGTTCCACAATCAAGTATTTTCTATGACATATATCTTTTGGGTAGAGGTACTACTTGAACTAGGAAAAACCACATTTACTTCTCCAGAGACAGCTAGAGTAATATTTTATAAATTTATGGGACTATGATTCCGATTCCAGTAACAAAAAGAAAAGGGCATGGTAACAAGGAAAGGTTTGTAAAGAGTTCTGTTAAATGAAAAGTCACCGGGGGCGGTGGCTCACGCCAGTAATCTCAGCACTTTGGGAGGCCGAGGCGGGTGGATAACCTGAGGTCAGGAGTTAGAGACCAGCCTGACCAATATGGTAAAACCCCATCTCTACTGAAAATACAAAAATTAGCTGGGTGCGGTGGCAGGCACCTGTAATCTCAGCTACAAGAGAGGCTGAGACAGGAGAACTGCTTGAACCTGGGGGGCGGAGGTTGCAGTGAGCTGAGATCATGCCACTGCACTCCAGTGCCTGGGTAAACAGAGCGAGACTCCATCTCAAAAATAAATAAATAAATAAAAATAAAAAAATAAAAGTCCAGTCTTGCCTTTTTTTTTTTTTTTTTTTAATGGCTTGGATTTTGAGCATATTTAGGCCCTTTTTTCACTCCAAGCTCCTGGTGTCCCCAGGGACAGTTCCTTCATACTAAGGTAGGTATATATTTTGCTCCCATATTCCAAGATGCCCTTTTATTTTCATCAGTAAGAAATTAGGGTCTAGGCCGGGCGCGGTGGCTCAAGCCTGTAATCCCAGCACTTTGGGAGGCCGAGACGGGCGGATCACGAGGTCAGGAGATCGAGACCATCCTGGCTAACACGGTGAAACCCCGTCTCTACTAAAAATACAAAAAACTAGCCGGGCGAGGTGGCGGGCGCCTGTAGTCCCAGCTACTCAGGAGGCTGAGGCAGGAGAATGGCGCAAACCCGGGAGGCGGAGCTTGCAGTGAGCTGAGATCCGGCCACTGCACTCCAGCCCGGGCTACAGAGCAAGACTCCGTCTCAAAAAAAAAAAAAAAAAAGAAATTAGGGTCTAAGCCTTAAGAGGCAACACTGGGGAAATAACAGTCCTCCCTAAGATACTCACAAATGGAGGGATTAACCTACAGAGGAAAAAATACTTAAAAGCTCAATAAACCATCTACAAATATTTGGCCCCCCCTAACTGGATCTTGACTGAAACAAGCTGTAGAAAAAAAAAAAAAAAAAAAAAAAAACAATTCATGAGACAGTTTAACAAAATTATCTATTGGACATTTGATATTAAATAATTGTTAATATTGGAGAGTTTTTGGTATGATGATATTGTAGTTATGTTTTTAAAAATAGCCATTCACTTTTATAGATACATACTATTTATGGATGAAAAGTCAAATGATGTCTGGGGTTTGCATCCCTAATTTAGTAGGGAGGGACAGTGGGAGAGTAGAAATAAAAGATTGGCCACGAATTATTTGTTAAAGATGGACAATGGGCACATGAGTTCATTATACTATTCTATGTATTGTTTGAAAATGTGAAAAAATTTTAAAGTTATTGAAGGAAATGCCACCTCCTCAGAGGCCTAAGTACTCTGCCTCCCTGGTAGTCATCTCTGGGTGTGGTAGTCATATGTCCCAGATTTTCCAAAATAATTTTCAAATATTCATCCTTATTATTATCACCATAGCCACTGAAATGTTCCAGAGACTGTCACATTAGATGTAGTAAATCCTAGTTTGGAAAAACTAGTTATCATGCAATGAAGAAAACTATGGGGAAGCAAAAGCAGTGGTGTCTGTCTCGATAAGCTTCATACAATGAGTTCAGAGAGACTTTCTTGCCCTTTTTGTTGTTATAAACACCCACATCTACCTTTTTGTCCTCTGCTGCAGACTCTCTACCAACAACAGAGGCAGATGGGATTACCCAGTGGGAGAGAAGCATGGACCACTTCCAGATAGATCATCTTCAAGGTCTGATCTATACATACTGCTGAAGGATGGACTGTAGCCTCCAGTACCCATTAGGGGTGATGGCCCTGGAAAATTTATCCCTACATTGTTTCCTAGTTTCACTCTATACCTTATGCTCCCTCCATCTTTACCCTATTCACCCTTATCACCTCCCAGGACAGTGGTCAGGTCTTACAAAAGGCTAGTGCTTCAGGAAGATGTTTATAGCTCTTCCAGAAGACCTTGGTAGCTCCCCTCATTTCCTACAATTTGAAACAAAGGTCATAAAAATAATTATTGGCATCATGCTTGGTTGGGAGTTGGGAATGGGGATTGTGATGGATCATATACTCATCACTGTTTCATTTCTGGATTTCATTTTTAGCTATGGATATACTGTCACATTGCCAATGTTAACAAGTAACATCTCTGTTCTTTGTCCTTATTATACATTTTCTATTTGCCTATTGTTTCCTCTATGCTTAGTTACTATTAAATGCTAATTTTCCTTTCTATTGAAAACAACTGTTGGAGACACTGATTTTCAGTTTAGTATATAGATAGTAAAATTAAGACGACACCCTTTTATTGCTACAATTCTATCACTATTACAAGTTCTAGAATGGTGGAATGGGCAAACAACACTACCACTGAGATCAAACATGTATTCTACTTTGGGTACTAAAAGGCAGAAATGAGGAATTAAATAGGTTAGCCACTCACAAGTTGGCCTTAAGCAAAAATACTGGGAAAACAGAAAATAGCAGGCATCTGCCAGAAATAAATTAGCTCTTGGGAATGACCTTGTATCTGAATTAGGAGCCCTATACCCTTTCTGGTACTCTGAATTTATTTTAAAGGCATTTCTAGACACCTTCTCTTTTAGGCAAGAGCCTGTCCTGTAGCAAATGGAGTTACCTCCAAGATTGTTGTATCTCTGTTACTCCTGAAGCCTCAGAAATTTCAGTCATTATCATTTGATGGCTGAGAAACAACCTGGCTGGTGACAGATGCTGAACTACTTCCTTTTAAAGTTTTTATTCTTCTTTTAATTTACCTCAATAAGTCCTGCCCTTCAAAACAATAAATTAAAAGTATGCTGAGTTAGAATGTTAATGGATTTGGTTCCATTAATCCCTAAACCATAGGAGTGGCAAAGTGGATGAGAGAGAAACAATTTTATTTTTGGCCTTTTTATTATTGTTCTAGCATTCTAGGGCTTCCACTCTTTTATTTTTAGATGGTTAACTCATTGATGATACCTATTTGCCATATAGCTGATCCCAACTGATGAAAACCATTCTAAAACATCAATAATTAATTCACTTAAAGACGATGGTCCCTCTGTCCCTAAGACAGATCCTATAAAGAGAGGGAAAAAGTCTCTTTTTCAGAAACAAATTGACAGCAAAAAGATGAAAATTTAGTCTCTGTCAAGTTGGACAGGAGGTAGTTATCAGGTTTGTAAAACCAAACCTGGAACCTACCTCCACTGTCCTTCAACAAGGGGAAACTATTCCCTCTTTCACCCCTTTGTAACACAGTTCTACTTTTTAAAACGACATCTTCCCTAATTACCACCTCCAATAAATATCCATTCTAAATTATTCTCTACCCAATTATTAAAGTTTTTCACAAGCTCGGTGGGGGAAGATTTACCCTGAGACAAACAGTGAACAGAGTGAGGATTTTGGAAAGACAGAAAAAACTACAAAGCAAAGTGGTCCCAGCATAAGAACTGAAAATAGCGGGGTACAGTGGCTCACGCCTGTAATCCCAGCACTTTGGGAGACTGAGGAGGGCAGATCACGAGGTCAGGAGATCAAGACCATCCTGGCTAACACGGTGAAACCCCATCTCTACTAAAAATGTAAAAAAATTAGCCGGGCATGGTGGTGGGCGCCAGCTACTTGGGAGGCTGAGGCAGGAGAATGGCATGAACCCGGGAGGCAGAGCTTGCAGTAAGCTGAGATTGAGTCACTGCACTCCAGCCTGGGTGACAGAGCAAGACTCCATCTCAAAAAAAAAAAAAAAAAAAAAAAAACCCCGAAAATATTCTGCCACCTGTGATTTAGTCATGAAGCAGGTGAAACAGTCAAGTTGGTAATAGGAAAAGGAAATATTAATATTTGTGATGAGATTGGGACTTACTGAGAATCTTGGTTGTCTAGGAAATGATCAGTTATTAAGAAAAAAAGTAAGAGTCAGTTGCATCATGCACAGACTTGTGCTCAGAAACGGGGTGCAAGGCAGCCTTATATTCCAGGTAAGATGGTGGGATTGGGGATGCACTGGAATCATCAATCAAATCAGAATCCTTTACTCCTCCTTTCCAATCCTCCTGGAGTGGTGGAGCCAATGTCTGGCCTCTCTATAGTACACTAAGGGAAAAGAACAGCAGACACGAGGTGAGCAAGAGCAGTTTGCCAGCCCATGGTTTCCCCAGATCCTTAGCACTCTCTACACTAAGGTTAGAGCTCTGGATTTCTGCTCATCCAATCCCAGCCTTACTTAGTGCCCTATGGTCATTCTCCCTGGTCCACCCTCACTATATTCCCCTGCCACCCACCCTGAAGAACACAAAGCTTTTTAGTTCTCTGCCACAAGGTAATTTTAAAAATGTGGTTTCTTTGTTTAAACAGTTACTAAGTTGTTTCATCTTTTCATAACAGACCTCCCCTCCCCCAGCTCCCCACTCAGTCTTGTATGATCACATCATCATCATCATCATCATCTTCCTCCTCCTCCTCTTCTTCCTCATCACCTTCTAGCAGTTCTTCCTCCTCCTCTTCCTCTTCTTCATCTAGACAAACTACCACCTCAGCTGGCTGAGGTAATCGAGAGTCAAACCAATCCAGTACCTGCTGGGTGCTAAGCCTTGATGCCTGACTCAATTGAGGGATATCAGTTTCCCGTAGCTGTTGGTGGGCTGCCCAGTACCTCTCCAAGGGTTGTATATCCGGTGGGGGTGGAGGGATCGGCAGAGGTGATGTCTCAGCCCTTTCATTCAAGGAGCGGGTTGATGGTGGTGGTGTAGGAATTGCTAGGTCTTGGAAACTAGGGGCACCAGGTACTGCGTTGTCCCGAAACCATTTTAGTTGCCCATGCTTCAAGGCATAACGTGTGTCACCAAACCACTGAATGATCTCAGGCCGAGGTAAACCAGTGATCTGTTCTAACTTTTGGTAATCCTCACGCCGTGCCCATTGGCACTGTAGAAAAAAGGATTTGAGGATAGCCAGCTGCTCTTTGGTTTTGCGCTTGGTCTTTCGCTGGCGTTGCATATCTGGGGAAAGGTACTCTGTGGGGCCAACCCTACCTGGTACTGAATTATGCCGTAGCCCTTGGGGCCAGGCTGGTTCCAGATGTGGGGGTAATGCCTGTTCACTGGGTGACACTGACTGTGGGATACAGCCTAATGGCTGGAGGGGTTTAGAGGTGGCAGTAGCTCCATTAGCCAGTACCTGGAAAGAAGAAGAGGAGGTAGAGGAAGAAGAGGGAGTAACACTAGATGCTGACTCCTCCTTACAACTACTGGCAATTAATGCAATTGGTGGGGGTTTATCCCGAGCTTGTGGTGGGGGGACAGTTGTGGAGTGGTTCCAGGAAGCAGTTCCTATGCCATGTGATTGGTTGGGACCCCTGCCTGCCTGCTCCTTTGAGAAGCCACTGCTTTGACGATGTTGCCAAAAATCTGATTGGTGGGGGAATGCTCCACTGCCAGGTGTCATCAGGGACTCCTTTAATTTCTGGTGACTCTGTGGCAGTGGTGGCATCTGAGAGGACTCCTCAGGCTCTACCTTCAATCCTTTCGTCTGGGTGGGCTTGCTAAGAGACGGAGGACCTATTCCAATACCAACTTGTTCTGGAGCTGGCATTGGAGGAGGAGGCACCTCCTCTGGGGGCCGTCCTGCATGATGAGTAAAAGAGAGAAGGGATTTGAAATGGAGTTGGTCCCGACGGTAGACTACTCGGGCTCGAGTTTCTTCTATTTCTTCAGATGACCAGCTAATACCACAGCGGAGGCGCTGGGCCATAAACCAAGTCTTGACTTTCTCCATCTGCAACCCATAACGTAGGCAGAGAAGGGCAATGTCTGCTAGGCTGGGATAGGGAAAGTAGCTGAAGGTTTTTAGCAGGTGTTCATTGCTGTCTAGCTCACTGGTCTGGGCTGCTTGGGTCCACACAAGCTGTAGCTCCTCAGAGATTGGAGGGAGGCAGATGAGCCCCGCTGGTGAACTACTGAGACCGCTGGCCTCTTTATTAGGAGGCATGGTGCTTTCTGATTTGTGCCCTTCAGAGATAGCTGTAATAAGAAAAGAAACAGCTCAATCACTGGGTCTCCTCTTCTGACATATTGCTCAATTTCTACCAAACTAACTGCTGGACACCAAAACAATTAAGTTTCTATTTGCATCATGTTGTATTGCTTTTTAAGTGCTTCAACAGTTTCTTATTTAATTTTCATAAACAAGTCATCAGACCCTGCTTTAATTCTGATTTTCTGTGGACTAAAGTCCATAGATGTTAAATTACCCCAAGTCACATGACTGGTGAGTGTTGTTCCAAGAAAAAAATCTGTCTTTAAAGCCAGTCATGGTGGCTCATACCTGTAATCCCAGCACTTCAGGAGGCCTAGGTGAGAGGGATTGCTTGAGCCCAGGGGTTTGATACCAGCTTGGGCAACATGGTGAGACTACAAAAAATTTAAAAATCAGCTGGGCATGGTGGTTCGTGCCTGTAGTCCCAACAACTTGGGAGGCTGAGGCAGGAGGACTGCTTGAGCCTGGGAGGTCGAGGCTGCAGTGAGCTATGCTTGCACCACTGCACTCCAGCCTGGGTGATAGAGTGAGACCCTATCTAAAACAAACAAAAAAAGGCCGGGTACGGTGGCTTATGCCTGTAATCCCAGCACTTTGGGAGGCCAAGGCGGGAGGATCACAAGGTCAGGAGATCGAGACCATCCTGCCCAACATGGTGAAACCCCGTCTCTACTAAAAATACAAAAATTAGCTGGGCATGGCGGTGAGTGCCTGTAATCCCAGCTACTCAGGAGGCTGAGGCAGGAGAATCATCTGAATCCAGGAGGCGGAGGTTGCAGTAAGCCGAGATCAGTGCCATTGCACTCCAGCCTGGGTCACAGGGTAAGACTCCGTCTCAAAAAAAAAAAAAAAAAAAAAAAAAAAAAAAAAAAAATCTGTCTTTAGAGGTTAAGAAGGAAAACTGATCCTGATACAGTTTTTTTTTAGTGTGTGTGTGTGTGTGTGTTTGTGTGTGTGTGTGTGTGTGTGTGTTTGAGACTGAGTCTCGCTCTGTTGCCAGGCTGGAGTGCAGTGGCACGATCTTGGCTCACTGCAACCTCCACTCCCGGGTTCAAGCAATTCTCTGCCTCAGCCTTCCGAGTAGCTGGGATTACAGGTGCCCACCACCACGCCTGGCTACTTTTTGTATTTTTAGTAGAGATGGGGTTTCACCATCTTGGCCAGGCTGGTCTTGAACTCCTGACCTCGTGATCCACCTGCCTCTGGCCTCCCAAAGTGCTAGGATTACAGGTATGAGTCACCACAGCCAGCTGGTGGGGTTTTGTTTTTTTTTTAAGAGATAATATTGCTCTGTCACCCAGGCCACCCAGGCTGGAGTGCAGTGGCACCATCATAGCTCTGATACAGCCTTCATCTTTCCTATTCAAACCCACTTCTAGAAGCTATCCACCAACTCTCACCTTCTAAATTCATGGAACAAGAATCACACAGTGAAGACTCAACCACAAAAACAAGAGGAGCAATAATTTCAACTTGTTTGTGTGTGTGTGTACATTTTTGTTTTTGTTTTTTCAAGAGACAGGGTCTCACTCTGTTGCATAGGCTGGAGTGTGGTGGCGTGATCATGGCTCATTGCAGCTTTGAACTCTTAGGCTCAAGCAATCCTCCCACCTCAGCCTCCCAAGTAGCTAGGACTACAGGTATATGCAGCCATATCTGGCTAATCTTAAAATTTTTTGTAGACAGGGTCTCACTATGTTGCCTAGGCTGGTCTCAAACTCCTAGCCTCAAGTGATCCTCCCACCTCAGCCTCCCAAAGTGCTGAGATTACTGGAGTGAGCCACTGCA